TTCTGTTTATGTTGTGCTGAGTTTTGGGGAATGGAAGAGCATTCAGGGCTTGTGTGAACAGTTCAGGCAGGAAGACAGGAACTGGGGGCCCCCGCTGCCCCCCAGCTCCACGGTGACCACCACCTCGACATCGTAAGTTCCTTCCTTTTCTTTAGAGTTTTACCACCTCAGCAATCTTGACTTGCTGTGTTCTGTTTCTGAACTCCATGCGCAGGGCATTGTGCATATTGTGACTCGGTCTTTTCCCTTCACTGTCATGTGATCCACGTGTGTTGGTGCTCGTGGTGGCAAGGCAGTGGGGTACGGACCCTTCTCCTGTGATAGGCACTTGGAGGCCACCAGAGATTGCTGGGAGGGAGGGTGTGTGCTTCTCCTCAGCATGTACCTAAGAATAGAACTTTGGGGAGTGGGTGTATCTCCTGCCTGATCCGACAATAAGTGGCACCACTTGGGTGATGTGTTGGAGGAGGACAGAAGGGAGACAGGAAGGCCAGGAGGTGGTGACAGAGGGAGGGGAGGGCGGGTGGGTTGGGAAGCACTTCGGAGGTGGCCTCATGGGGGGTACATTGGAGAAGGAAGACAGGGTATGGAGGAATTGACCCAGGAGGGTCCTAACCATGTTGACACTGGGAAGACCTGGGAGGGGGTGGCTTGGGAAAAATCAGGAGCTGAACAGATTTTGACCATGGGAATGCCAGGGAGACATTGAGTGCTGGTTCCTTAGGCAGCTGTGTGCACGTGTACAAGTCAGGTGAGGGCAAGGTCAGGGTGGCCCTGGAAGCTCAGAGATGAGGGGATCAGCCAGGATGTGTTGTAGAAGGGATGAGAAGAGGCCCAGGGCTGACACTGTACAAGGCTGGTACCTGGGGAAGGAGACCTGGAGGAGACGGCCTCTGCGTGGGGTCATGGAGGGGTGGGTGAGAAGGGGCAGGCGAGGGCTGCTTATCTTACTGGGCATTGTGTGGCTCTGCTCTGTTTTGGATGGTACCTGGCAATGCCATGCTTGACCCTGTACCCATTTCTTCTGCTGCAAGTGAGTGGCCCTCCCAGCATCAAGATCCCAGCTCCTGAGCACCTTTGTTTGAAAAAGAGGGAAGCTAGGGTGGGGACAACCAGGAGAGAATGGCAGGAAGCCGGCCAGGGGCAAGCTGAAACCTGGCATCTGTTCAGGGAGGGGCAGGAATGGAGTATCATTCAGCCTACATGACAGCAGAGCCGACTCTCAGGCTGGCCATGGCCAGAGCCACAGACCTGACCTTCAGAGTCAGCTGCGTCAAGTTGCTCGTGTGACAGACATGGGGAAGCTGAGGCCTGGAGGCAGGGAGGGAAGAGGGGAAATTGAGGCTCGGGACTTCTAATTCCCCACCTCATCTCTAAAACAGGAGTAACAGCATCACTCTTAACTGTGAGGCCTGTGCCTTGCTCTTTGCTGGTACTTGTTGTGTTTCAGCTGTTACCGTTATCCTGATCCGGCGCCTCTCCTGTTAGTCTATTGTAGTCTCCTAAGCTTGTAAGGCAATCTAGGAAAAAGTTTAGGGAGGAAAGAAAAGTCCTATAACAGAAAGAATGTTGTGAGTCTGAACTGTGCGGAAGTGAGCCACCCATCACCAGAAGTATTCAAGTAAGGGGCGACTCCTGCATGCCCAGGGTATAACAAGAGGGGGTGAAACATCCCTCTCAGGGGCTACAAAGACTGTGGTCCTGACAGTGGCATCCAGTGGGGAGGAGGCAGGGCTTGATCCAGCACCCAGTGCCCTGATCCCTGGGCCAGGCCTTATCTGTGTGGTTACATTCAGATGCTGAGCTCTGGTTCCACCTCTGAAATAGCGGTTCTCAGATGCCCAGCCTCTCATTGGATATCCTCTGTGTGCCAGGGGCTGGGGGATTTGGCTGTGAACGAGGTGGGTAAGAGCCGTACCCCGGTGGAGCTGACATTGCAGAGGAGGGAATAGATGACTGAGAAAGTAAACAAGAGGGTCTCACGTAGCGCTGGCTGCTGAGAGGAGACTTGAAAGTGAGTGATATCACGGGAGACTAACCGGGTGTGCTGGTATCTGTCTTTTGCCATACAGATACTTTGTGCTTTTATGTAGTCTGTTATATTAAGCTTTTTGTTTTTGTTTGTGGATTTTATGTCCTAATGTTTTTTCTTAGCACTGCTTCTAACATTGATTTTGGAGTTTATTTTTGTGTATGGTGTAAAGTGGGTCCCAACACGTTTATTATTTTATGTTAAATCCTTTCCCTGTTGGGCTTGAGTGCTACCGGTACCCTACACTAAATTCCCAATGTGCATAGTTGTGTTTCTGAACTCTGTTCTGTTTCATCGATCTCCTCGTTTCTCTGTTTTGATTGTTAGAACTTTAAAGTGTATTTGGATGTGGTTAGAGAAAAGCCGGCCTTCTTCCTTCTTCCTTTTCAGAAATTTTCTTGGGTAAACATTTCTTTTGGGGGGTGAATTTTAGATTCAGCTTGACAAATCTGTGACAGTTATGTCTTTGCTTTGATGGAGATTGCATTGAAGTTGTAGATTAAGTTGAAGAGACTTGTTTCACTTTGACAGTGCCCTCAGTAGAGTGCATTGGTGTCACAGCTCACAGCAACCTCAAACTCTTGGGCTTAAGCGATTCTCTTGCCTCAGCCTCCCAAGTAGCTGAGACTAAAGGCACCCACCACAATGCCTGGCTATTTTTTGTTGCAGCTGCCATTGTTGTTTAGCTGTCCCGGGTCAGGTTCGAACTCACCACCTTTGGTGTATGTGGCTGGCGCCCTCACAACAGTGCTATGGGTGCTGATCCAGAATTGATATTTTTAAGGTATTGAATCTCCCACGCAGACACATGGTGCGTATTTCAAATACAGTATACTGTTATGTCCATCAGACCGTTAGTTTTGTCTTCTTGTAGATGACACGTGTTTATTATATATTTATATCTAGGTTTATTTCTCTTTTGAATGGGATTAACTTTCCTGTTCAGTTGTTACTAGTGTACAGGAAAGTCACTAATTTAAGTGTGTTTATTTTGTTTTTGACCATCATATTAGTAAGTGTTGATTTTAATACTTTGTTTGTTTTGATTTCCTTGGATTTTCTAGGAAGAAGCAACCATAACAGCTGTAACTAGTGACAGTTTCTCCTTTCTGTCGTTTCTTGTGACCTTTTTCCGTACTTCACTGCATTTGCTGGCATCTCCAGGACGATGCCCAGCAGCGGCATTGCCAGTGGGCATTTTGTTATACTAACGTCTTCTGTGGGGGATGTGTGTCCGTTTCTTCTTTGAGGGTGATGTTTGCCGCTTGTTTCTGGTAGACATCGGTTTTCAAGAACTCTTTTCACCAGGCACGCTGCTGGTGCCCCAGAGAAGAACAGTAACAGGTTGTTATTGAGGCTCATTTTCCCTGTTTTACAGAAGGGAATGCAGGTGGACTTGCCATGCCCACCAGTGGGCAAAGCCTGCAGTCCTTAGCGGGCTCTTGCTATTGCAGGCGTGGTGCAGGCAGTGTCCCTTGGGGGCATATCTGCTCCTCACCCTGCCAGCTTACCTGAAATGCTCAGGGGCGTGCAGAGGTCCTGGTGGGCTCCAGCGCCTGTGCAGCCATTCAATCTTCAGACAGACAAGGACACTGAGTCTTTAGGGAGGAGAAACACTGTCAGCGGCAGGGCTGAGATGTAGATGCAGGCCTGGGAGGGTCAGGGATTCATTCTGGTCCCTGCTGCTCCTGGGCAGGTATGTCCAGGCATTCAGTAAGAGCTTGAGTGTCGTGTTCAGACCTCAGGGGCAAATGCTCGGGTTAGTTAGACTCCTCGTTTCCTGGCGAAGCTCTTATTACCATCTTTGCAAGGCCCCCTCTTTTTTACATCTATCCTTTGATTCCTTTTATCCTCTTCTTCCCTTCCCGTCTACCATCCCATCCTATTGACAGTTCTATCTCATCTGCATTGGGTTTTTTGTTTTCATGTGTTCATGTAAAATGTACCGTATATTGTTATTTTGTGTGCAGTAGTAATTTAAATTTGTGTAATGGATCATTTTCGGTTTCTCCCTTTTTTCCTCTCAGCACTGTGTTCTGAGTTCCTCCACATTGCTGTGTGTCCTTGTGTCCAGCTCCGAGTGGCTGTGTCCATATGTCTGGCTGCACGTTGCTTTGTGTCCGTGTGTCCAGCTCGTATTGCCGTGTGTACATCTAGTCTTTCGTTTCTGACAGTTGGAGTCCTCTATGTAGGATGGCCGTAAATTAACCTAATCTGTTCCCTCAGCGATAGACACTCAGGCTTCTCTGAGGCTTCCGACAAGTTAACACTGGCATGGGCTTCCTGGTACTGGTTCTGTTATGGGCCAGGAGCAGAACCCATAGGTCCTACATGATGTACACACCTAACCGTGGAGATGGGGCCATGCCTCTCTCCAGGCTGGCCACACTGGTCTTCAATCCCACCCCTGGCCAAGGGTCCCCACTTGTGTCTGGTGTTTCTCGCTCTTTCTCATTTTTCCAGGTTAGTAGGTTTGTTACCTAGGAGTTCTTTTTTATTGTTGTTAATTTTCAAGAGTTTGTTATACACATTTTATAGATGGCAAGTCCTTGTCAGTTCAAAGGCATTCTAGCAATGGCTCCTAATCTATCAGCAATCTGTTACTTGTCCATGGAGTTCTTTGTTATACAGAAAATTTAAACTTTGAAGTGTCAGCTTCATCAATTTCCTTAACCTAGAGGCTGTGCTCTTTAGTTTTAAGATGTTCTCCCCAAGATGTGACTTCTCTATCCTCCCCAGTCACAAATACATTGACCTTTGAGCAACAGCAGGATCAGGGTGCTGACCCACTCATGCAGTTGAAAATCTACAAGTAACTTCTGATTCCCCTAAAACTAACTCCTAACAGTCTACTGTTGACTGGAAGCCGTACCAATAATATAAGCAGTTGATTGACACAGCGGGGGCATCTCCTTGGAACCACAGGCCTTCTCTGGGTGGTGACTCTGCTTCTTGTCGCCAACCATAGGCTCCACCAAGGACCTGATGGAGACGTGCTGCGCAGCAGGGCAGCAGTGGGCCATTGACAATGACGAGTGCCTGGAAATCTCTGAGAGTGGCGCTGAGGGCGACGTCTGCAGGTAGGGCGGGACCCTGGAGCTGGCAGACTGCCCACGTGCCTGCTCCAGATTCTTGGAGCTCGTGCCTTGTGCCTTGGGCCCAGGTAGCTTGGGGGGAGCGTGTGTTTCCCATCTTCCAGGGGCCTGGATGTGGCTGCTGTGGGCCATCTGGCCAGGCTCTCTCCAGGGGTGGATGGTCCAAGACTGCTGTCCACAGGGCTGGCCCCTCGCTGTCCTCCTCTGTTGTCTGTGCTTACTGTTTCTTAACTATTTATCTGCTTTGCCAGGCTCGGGAGAGATCTTGGTCAGCCGTTCACCCTTCTTTAATCCAGGGGCACCGTCTCATCCAGCCTGCTCATTTTTCCAGAGTAGGAGGATGAAGTTCAGAGAGATGATGTGATTCACCCCCAGCCACACAGCTCACTGGCAGCGTGACTAGTCAGACCCCATGTCCTCTAGTGTCCATCCCCTGCTAATCCCTTCAGAACAATCTCTATTCTAACTTTGTTCCTTTCCTTTCCCTTCTGGGAATACTTAGGCATTAGAGCAGTCTCCACTCAGCCCCCTGGAGTTTTGGGCTAATCGGCCCTACTGTGTGCTTGCGTCCCTCTCGTAATGAGTGCTCACCACTTCATGAACAACCGGTTCTATCACTGGGAGTTCTTGTTGAGACAGGCCCCTCCTGAGGTGGTGTTAGACCCTGACCCCCATGACCCTCACTGTCCTGTCCCAGCTCTGTTCTCTGCTACTGACCCAGCAGCCACCTCTGGCCCAGGGCAGCCCTGTGGAAAGTGGCAGGCAGTGACCAGGGGTCTGGAGGCTGTCCTCCTCCAGGCCGATGACCCAGCCCTTTCTGGGATTGGGTGTCCCTGTCCTTTTGCCCTAGTGGGGGGGCTCTAAGCCAGACCCTCTTCCTCACAGCCCGACAGGACCCAGGCCTAAGGATTCTTGGTTCAGCCAAAAGACAAAAGCCATGTGACTTGGCAGGGCTTATACTAGCTGGGTCACCAGCGCTGGCCTCCACTTGCTGAAGACCTTGGTGGGGACTTCCCCTTAGGGTGGATAGGGCGGTGCTGGGGCTGAGGTATACCCTCTCTTTCAGGACAGCCCAGAGGCACTGCTGTGTCTCCTACTTGAAGGAGAAAAGCTGCATGGCTGGTGTCCTGGGGGCCAAGGAGGGCGAGGCCTGTGGGGCCGAGGACAACGACACCTGTGGTGTTTCCCTGTACAAGGCAAGCCCCACCTGCGCATTCACAGTGAGATGGGGGTGGGCAGGCTGGCCTGAAACTGAAGGTCCTGGAGCTCTGAGGGGGTGGGGACTGGTGGGGACTGATATACCTGGGGTTGGGGTGGGAACTCTTCATCTGCACATCAGAAATCATCATAGTTATTATATGGATTGATTAATTCGCAGAGTATTTTTTGAGCACCAGCATGTGCATTGGGCCCCACTCTAGGTATCAGGGATGTAGCAGTGGGTAACACAGGTGACAGTCCCCACCCTTGAGGAGCTTCCTTTCTAGTCAGGAAGACAGAAGATCAAGATGAATGTGTTAATGTGGGGTTAGCAGGTGATCCTGCTAGGGAAGAAGAACCAGAGGGAGGGGATGAGCAGAGTCAGGGCTGGGAGTGCTGGAGTTCCCGCTGACAGGGGCTGGGGTTGGCCTCCCTGAGAAGGGGCATTTGTGCAAAGCCCTAGCAGATGCTGAGCCAGGAGTGGTCTGCAGGAAACTCTGCAGGAACACTTCTAGGCAAGGAACAGCAAATGGAAAGGCCCATAGGTAAGTGGCCGCTTGGCATGTTTGAGGACTGGGGCGGGGTGGGGGAGACTGTGTGTCTGGGGTAGAGTCAATGGGGTTGGAGCAGCTGGAGCTGAGGCTAGAGAGGTGATGGAGCAGAGCCTGTCCATCATCGGGATGCTTGACTCTGAGTGAGGTGGATGCCAGGAAGAATTTTGTAGGGGATGGTCACTGAGGCCGGTTCTCCTGTGTGGGCAGTGGGATCAGGACAGGGTAAAATCCAGAGGCAGGAGCATTTAGGGATGGGGTGTGTGGTCCACTAGGCCCGGTAGCAGTGGGCACAGGCCACCCAGAGTCCTCTGGTTGGAATGTGACAGATTGCAAATGTTTCTCTGAGAACTCTGGTCTCTAAGTGCAGAGTTCACGGGGCCTGGAAGGGACTTATACAAGGAGACCAGTGTGTGTGCTAGAGCTCCTGCTGGCCTCTGGAGGCCAGGGCCAGGGCCAGGCCAAGCCACAGTCATGCAGGCTGCAGCTGTCTCTTGCGCTGTCACCACTGATTTGCTGCACTGGAATCCCAGGCAGAGGCAGGAAGAGGGCACAGGAGAGCGTCCCTTTCTGTACATGTAAATTATTTATGATTGTGGTGAAATACACACAATGTGAAATTTGCCACTGTAACGGTTTTTAGGTGCACAGTTCAGGGGCTTTAGCACACTGACATTGTCACACAACCATCACCACCATCTCCTTTTGAGCTGTTTCATCTTCCCAGACTGAAACTCTGTCCCCATCAAGCACTACCTCCTCATTCCCTCCTCCCCTCGGCCCCCAGCGACTGCCATTCTCCTTTCTGTCTTTGGGAATCTAACTTCCTTAGGGACCTCATTTATAAGGAATCGTATTTGTCCTTTTGTGTCTGGCTTATTTCACTTGCACGATGTCCTCAAGTTTCATCCACATTGTAGCCTGTGTCAGAATTTCCTTTCTTTTTAAGGCTGAATAATGTTCCATTGTATGGACAGACCACATTTATTTGTCCATTCATCATCATAGGCACAAGGTTCCCCTTTTGGCTATTGTGAATAATGCTGCTTTGAACTGGAGGGTAAGAAAAGCCCCCTTCTTTGAGGGCTGTCTCTGCCTCTGCTTAGATCTCATTGGCTAGAACGTCATCTGTTGGCCACGCCCAGCTGCAAGGCAGACTGGGAAATGTAGTCTTTATTTCCTGGGAGGTCCAGTGCCCCATTGAAAATGAGGAAGAAGGGAAAACAGAAGTGGACAGAGAGCTGGCTGTGTGCAGCTGCAGAGGGTGGGGGCAGTTTCGGGAAACTGAAAGGTGGAACTGAGGGCGGAACAGTTTCAAGGAACGTTGCAGAAGGGGCCTCATCCCAACTGGGAGTGGAGGGGAGGAGTTGAATTAGCCTACCCTGTCTCAAGCCTGGGCGACAATGACAGAGGCCTCTAGATGTGGCAGCAATTGGGGGAGGATTTTGACTTCAATTTTTGTCAGAATGAGGTCGATTTTTCCTAAAAACAACTGGTGCTAGTGAGAGGACCTTTTTCACAGGTCACTGGAGAGTCCCCTTTCTATCTTTTTGACCCCAAACCAGTTCTCTTTTCTGAGCTGCAGCTTCTCCATCTGTGAGACGGGATAATAGTCTGTGTCTCATGGGTGGCTGTGAGATCAGAGGTGATGCAAGCTAAGTACTTTTGAAGTATGTCGGTCAGTGGAAGTGTCTAGCACTGAGAGGTGCAGGCCTAGCGTGTCAGTTAACTATTGCTCTGTAACACACCATCCAAACCTTGGTAGCTTGTTTTGGCTTAGTGCATGAGTCTGTGGTCAGCTGAGTGAGCACTTTCACTGACCTGATCCATACTCAACTGATTTGGGCTGGGCTTATGTCAGTGGATGGCTCTTCTGGGGCCCGATCTGGGATACCGTCATCTGGGGTGACTTGTCTCTGCTTCATGCAGTCTTTCAACCCCCAGCAGACGAACAGGGTCTTGTTCAGCAAGTGGCTATGCAGGGCTCCAAGAAAGGAAACAGAAGCATTCAAAGTCTTGTGAGGTATAGGCTAAGAACTGGCATGCCGTCGTGTCCAGCTCATTCTGTTGGCCAAGGCAAGTCACAAGACACAACTAAGGGATTGGAAGTACATTCACTCCGTTAAAAGGAGCGGCTGCACTATCACATTGCAGAGATGGTGAACACAGAGAAGAGTGAATAATTGGGGGTTTTATTGTAACCAATCTCCCACTGTATCTTAAATAATTAAATAAAATTTATTTTTAGTGACATGCAGCCTGGGGTGGGATACCTTTGTATTCCCAGAGACCCAGGCTTCTACTTGTCTGTTTAATTGTCTTTAGCTTGTAGCTTCCATCTTCAGGGTCACTTCATGGCCCAAGATGGCTGCGAAAGTGCCAACCATTACATGGGTACTCAAAAGAGGAAGGGGGAGAGCAAAACAGATGTACTTCCAAGTGGAAGTTCTCCTGAAAGCTCCACCCAGTGAATCTATCTAACTGCAAGGGCGCCTGGGAGATGCTGTCTTTTAGTCAAACTGAATAGAATTGGGATCTGCAGTAAAAATGAGCGGATAATTAAATGAGCGGTGTGGCTGAGGATTAATTTATAGTTTCTTCCACAAAAGGCCATCTGCTTATTACTTATTTCAAAAAACTTATGTTGGTCCTACCCTGTGCCAGATCTAGGAAATGGAGGCAGGCAACTCCTTTGCCCCAGGAGAGCATGTCGGCTGGCAGAGGAGACAAGATAAGGGTTAATTTAGCCCCATTAATCAACCCCTTTCCTGAGCCTGGTCCCAGGATGTGCCCTGGGGATGCTGTATGAATCTCATGAACTCTGAGGAGCCAGGAAGTGGACAGTGATGGCTGTGTCTCTCCTTCCAGCAATGCTGTGACTGCTGTGGCCTGGGCCTCCGTGTGCGGGCCGAGGGCCAGCCGTGCGAGTCCAACCCCAACCTGGGCTATCCCTGCAACCATGCCATGCTCTCCTGCTGTGAGGGCGAGGAGCCCCTCATCATGCCTGAGGTGCGCCGGCCTCCAGAACCCGCGGCTGCACCACGGAGAGGTGGGTGCTTGCTCTTCCTGGCTGGGCATGTGGGGCCAAGACTGGGTGACCTCTGGCCTTCTGTGGGACCCTATCATCGTCTGTGGCTTGAGGATCGGGTTCTGCTTTAAACAGTTCTCTGATCTCATTATTTCCAAGATGGTCATCGTATTCACGTTCCTGTGTTCCACCCACCTGACCACCAGCTGCTGTCCGTCACCCTTCTACTGTCTGCTCTCTTTGTCCACCCACACATCCACACATCCTCTCCCCCACCTACTTTTTATCCATTCATCCATTTCGCTCACCCCACTCACCCTTCCATCCTCTTGTCTATCTGTCCGTCCATTCACCCAGTCACTCCCTCATTCATCCCCTATCCCATTCTTTATCCATCCGCTCATCTACCTGCCCACCATCCACACATTGCTCATCCTTCCATCCATTTATCCACCCACCCACCCACCTACCCACTCGTTCACTCACCTATTTGCATATTAATCCATCCATCTTTTGTCCATCTGCTAGTGAGTTCACTCACAAGCCCAGCCAGAAACCTCTCACTTGTTCACTCACTCACTCACCCTCCCTCTGTCCATCTACCCTCCATCCCTGTCACCTGCACCATTCTTGTTTCCCGTGTGCAGTGTAACTGCACACAGACATGGCATTCATGTGCATTTCCTCCACTTCTTGGTGGCTCCTGTAGGTAGAACTGCTTTTTTTCCCTCTGTCTCCTAAGTGCCCAGTCCAGAAGATTCACTAACAAATGGATCAATAATTGGATGAATGATGGGTTCACTTGGTGACCCATTCACCACAATAACCTGAGCCCTTTGAGGGATGACCAGGCTGTGACCTCCTTTGCCCCTGTTCAGAGCGTGTCCCTGAGCAGCCCTGGGCAGTGTTCATGGGAGCTGGAAGCCCACTGAGCCTCTGGTGCCAGTGCAGACCCTGGAGCCTGAATCAGCTTAGCCACACCCTGGAGCTTCCAGCCCTCAGTGTCCCTGGTGTCTCCTTCCTATCCTTGCTTTGTACTTTGACCTCTCTTCCAGCTGCCTTGTCTGGTGCCTGCCCCCCGGTCAGGGCCATGTCTGTGCCCAGTCAGCCACAGGTGTCCTCTGTGCAGATGCCTTGGCAGCCCTGGGCTGGTGCAGTGAAGCCCGGGCAGGCCTCCTTGTGGGTGTCCACACATTTACCCTTGACTGGCTGGGGAAAGATGTCCAGGAGGATTCCAGAACCACTAGTCCCGTTTTTTCTCTGTCCTCTGTGGACCATCTGGGCCCCTCAGTGTGTGTCCCGGGCCCCTCATGGAATGACAGTTAAGGCCACAGAAGCACTCCTGGTATCAAGGTTAGACTCTTGGCCTCTGGAGCGAGGCAGACCTGGTTTGAAGCCCAGCTCCTCTGTTTCTCTAGGGCAAGTCATAGGCCTTCTTGGAGCCTTCATCGTTGTATCTTTCAAACGTTGGGTCATACTCCTCACCTTGTTCAGTGCAAGAACGAATGATGTGATACTTGTCAAGGGCTTATGGCAGCACCTGACAAAACACCCAGAATGGCCCCCACCATTGCCATTTCCATGTTTTAGTAGGTCAGGGGAGGAAGCTGAGGCTCAGAGAGGGCAGAACCGGGTCTTTGGCACAGCCAGGACTGGATGCCATTGCTCTGATGACTCCCATTTCTGCTTTGGGCTTCTTCACCCTTGGCTCAAATCAACCCAGATCTCTGTCACTAGAATGCCAGGTGGCAGGAGTCTCTGCATGGGGATTAAGATGCCCTCCCTGAGCACAGGCTACTGAGGAGGAGCTCACACCTGTGGGGTACAGATGGGAGGTCAGGGCAAGGCAGGAGTGAGTGTGAAATTTGGACCAGGCCCGGGCATCTGGCCCGACCACCCCACTAGCCTGTTGTGGTGCAGGGGCTGCGTCCGGTGCAGGGAGGTTGGCTCTCAGGGGACTGGTGAGCAGTGGTATGAAGGCCAGAGTAGAACCCAGAAGAGTCTGGTTCAAGGCAGAGTTTAGGAGGAAGTCTGTCTTCAGGGTGGGTGTCTGGGAAGGGTGCAGGTGGGCAGTAAGCCTTCACCTGGGCCTCACAGGGCCCAGAGCCAGAGGTGTGTGTTCCTTCCTCCTGTGAGGAGCGCACTGATGAGGGTGAGCTGAGTCTGCTTCCTGGAGGTGCTGCCCAGCCTGCAGTGCTGAGAGGCCCTGAGCCAGGCCCATCTACTGCCCCCCTGCAGTGCTTTCTCCGCAGGCCCAAACTATTGCTGCCTCACCCGCAGGCGCCAGCCAGGGCTGATCGGGCTGCAGCTTAATATAAACACCCTCCATATGAAACACGTTCCTCAGACGTGACTTCATGCAACTGCTCTCTCGGGGGGCTCAGCTGCCTGGGTTTGATGGGAAGGGTGGAGGCCCTGGGCTGGCATGGAGCTTGGAGGGGCTGTGGCCCCCCTGAAAGTCCTGCTATATGCCTTTCTCATGGCTGCTTAGCTCCAGGAGGCTTCCTTCCCACTCTCCCCTGCTGCCCACTGCAGCCCTGAGAGGCGGCTTTCCCCCCAATTCAGGAGGCCCAGGGAGACCTAGCACTGTCTCAGATGACCCAGCCAGGGAAGGCCCGGGCCAGTGTTCAGACCTGATCTGATGGAACCCAGACTTGGGGCCCTTTCTGTGGCTAGGGAAGGTCCTCCCTAATATCACTGAGGTCCGGGGTCTGAGATCCAGTTTAACACTTTAGGAAGAGTTTCTCTGTGCCCCTGTTCTATTGCAGGGGACTCAGTGAGGAATGCTTAGACCTGGTTCCGGTGGGGTCACTCTTACAACCAGAAGTCTGTTCATCCTTCTATCCATCCATTCCTCTGCCCGTCCATCTAGAAATTTGTCAGAATATCCGTTTATCTCTTTGTCTGTCCATCCATCCTCTCATCTGCCTATCCATCCATCCACCCATATGTCTACTCACCCACTCCTTAATCCACCCATCTATCCATCCATTCATCCATCCATCTAGCCATCTGCCTGTCCACCCGTCCACTTGCCCATCCATTCATTCATCCACCCACTCATCTGTCCACCCATCTCTCCATTCATCCATCTATCCATCTGCCTGTTTGTCCATCTCTCCGTCCATCTATCCATCCATTTAGCCATCCACCTGTCCATCATTCCACCCACCTATCCATCCATTCATCCTTTACTCACCCATCATGTATCTGTCCACCTGTCTGTCCATTTATCTTTCATCTGCTGGACACAGAAGTCCTGGTGATGAGGCCCTGTACTGGTTTCCTGAAGCCCATGGTCTTGGCTATCTTGAACACTAACCCCTGCCCTAGTTTCAGAGGCGGATGTGGCAGCCCGAGAGGCCCTGTCGCTGGGCACGGAGACCGAGCTGCCCAACAGCCTGCCTGGGGATGACCAGGATGAGTGTCTGCTCCTCCCGGGGGAGCTGTGCCAGCACCTCTGCATCAACACTGTGGGCTCCTACCACTGTGCCTGCTTTCCTGGCTTTTTGCTGCAGGACGATGGCCGCACCTGCCGCCCAGGTGAGGGCCCTGATGGCAAGGGCAGGGCTGTGGGCACAGCTGATCTTACCCATGGAGTGTGGCATTCTAGGGGTGGGTACCATGGGGCCCTGTCACCGCCTGCCTCTCTACATGTCAGAACCTGCAGGAGCCAGAGGTTAGGGTTAGGGTTAGGGGTTAGGGTTAGGGTTCGGGTCCATCTTGTAAGGCTGAGTAGACAGGTTTCCCTCCTGTAGCTCTATTTGCAGTGACTGGGCCCCAGTGGCCTGCCCCACATTTGAGCTCAGGCCACAGAGGCTCTTGCCAAACCCCAGCTGTGTCCCCAGTGCTGGGCTAGTGGTGGCCCGGCAGGGCGTTCTCCCAGACAGCTGCTCAGGGATTGATTTCTTTTCAGTCTAGACACTCTCCTCCTCCTTCCTCACTCTTCTTGTCTGCCTCCTTTCCTTCACCCCTCTCTGCCCTGAGGAGCTGAGGTCGATCTTGCCCAAGGTTTATCTGTATCCCCAGCCTCAGTTTCCTCTCTCCTTAACTAGGGTAGGGGGATTAAATGTTAGTGCCTGGCGTCATGCCCAAGTGTGGGAAGGACATGTGCCCGTTAGTGCCTGAGGTCTGTTTGAAGCATGAGACACCCTCCTTTCGCCTGCTCTGCCTGTGACAGACAGTGACTCCGCACGGCCAGAGGCCACACAGAAGCCTGCACTGAGGTCAGAATTTGCCCAAGTGTCCCCCAACATCATCCCTCTGCCACTGCCGCAGCCCAACACCTGTAAAGGTAAGCAGAGGGTGTGGTGTCCCTGAATAGGGCCTCAGGCCAGGGTGGGTCCAAGCTGCTTGGGGGTGGTGAGCCCTATGGTGCGGGGAGTGTGCAAAATGGCTCTTGCCCCCAGGGTGCTTTCTGCCCTGGGGGTTGGTGGGGCTTCCCTGTCTGAGGTTGGGTGAGGAGCTGAGAAGGTAGCTGAAGAGGTGAGATTGAGGGGGCTATGTGTGACCCTAAGCAAGCCGGTTAACTGCTTTTTGTCTCCATTCCTATAAAATTGAGAAAATGAAATCTTTGCTTGCTGAATGGCTGTGCAGGCTCCATTCAGCAATGCCTAGAAAATTCTTTTCCCCAATCTCCTTCCTTTATCCTCTCCTTTCTTTCTTTATATTCTTTTTTTTTTTTGCAGTTTTGGCCGGGGCTGGGGTTGAACCCGCCACCTCCGGCATATGGGGTCAGCGCCCTACCCCTTTGAGCCACAGGTGCCGCCCCCTCTCCTCTTTCTTCTTCCTGCCTCTGTGCCTTCTTTCTCTTCCTCCTTCTCTCTCTCCTTTCCTCTGTGTCATTCTCACTGTCATCACTGTGCTTGAGGGATGGGTTCGACCTGAGTGGTGGTGCAGGCAGACCCGGAAGGTCATCCCTGGCACCAGCTAGTGTTGGAACTGTCTGGCCCGGTGAACCTGTGAAAAGGCCCGGGAATGGGCTTCCTTGTTTCCCAGTCTGCCGCCTCCTGAGTGTCTGACCCATAGGTCAGAGCTGGGCAGACGAGCCGCTGTGGGCCAACACCACAGCCGGGTGGCCTCTAACTTCCGTGTGGTTCCCTCCAGACAACGGGCCCTGCAAACAGGTGTGCAGCATTGTTGGGGGCTCGGCCATGTGCTCCTGCTTTCCTGGCTATGCCATCATGGCGGACGGCGTGTCCTGTGAAGGTGAGTATTTCAGGGCTGCCCTCCTACCTGTGCAAATCTGAGTTAGCCTGTGATGAGGGCCCCCAGGTGGGGCTAGCTATGACCTAGAACTTGCTGAGTTCATGAGGGAGCAGATTTGGCTGCTGTGATGAAGACCCCCAATATAGCAGCTTAAACAGTTACTCTGTGTCACATCACCATGTGCACGTGTGCTCCAGGGTGGGCCACAGTGCTGTTGCAAAAGGCCCAGGATCCCAGGCTCCTTCCATCTTGTTGCTCTCACATTTCCTAGAGCAGTGGTTCTCAAACTTGAGTGTGCCTCTGAACCCCCTGGAGACCTGTAGGGAGTTTTACCAAATCCCCAGAACTCCTGATTCAGTGGGCCTGGGGTGGGGCCTGAGGATTCATAGCTAATGAGGTCCCTGGTGATGTCAGTGCTGCTGGTCCATGGACCATGTCTGGACTTACCTTGTCCTTGAGGCTTGCCCTGGCCTGTGTGGCTGAAGCCGTTTTGTTTCTACCATGTTCATGTCCCAGCCTTGAGTGGACAAAGGGAAAGCAGGAAGCAGAGCCCAGTTGTTTTAAGGGCACACCCAGAAGTGTGCCCAGTGGGCAATGGAGGGTGGCTGGAGCATAGGAACCCTTGGCTGGGTCTATTATGAATACCAAGCAGGGGAAGAGATATTGGTAACAATTAGCTGCTTCTGCTACTCGTGCAGGGCCCAAGAAGGCACACAAAGCACATCCCTTTCATCCTGGGAGCCCTGCCTCAGCCAAGCCTTGTCTCAGTGGGGCCTCTGCAGGTTGGGACCTTTCCACTATAGAATGGGGCATCAGACCCCCCACCCAGGGGATTGGTTCCCGTGGGGAATCGTGTCTGAAGAACCAAACTGAGAGGTCTTGAGAACCCACCTCCTCATGTCTGGAGGTAGGGAGCATGCAAAGAGCCTAGCAAATGCATCAGTTCAAGTACAATTTCAGGAGACGAGATCTAGGGGGTAGCAGAGTGAGGTCTGTCTAGGAAAATACTCTCATCCTCCCAGAAGTTGAAGTCCCATGTCCAGTGCCATCTGAGACTGTTTGGATGTGAACACATGCCATCTCACAAGCCCGGAGGGGACAGCAGACTTGCCCATGCATAGCATGGTGGTGGGCAACAGGCCAGTCTCTCAGGGGTTGGAAACAGGGCTCAGGTCCAGGCAGCGCCGTGTCCTCTGTGTTTCCCCCCCACTCCCATATCCTGGGGTCCCGAAGACGAGAGGAATGTATCTCTCTTGGGTCAGGACTCCTTCAGGCCCAGCCTTGTGAGGTCTCTCTGCCTCTGCCAGCCATGCAGCCTGGCCCATGTCTGCACCTCTCCCATTGTCCGTCCTCCCCTGGGGGGCCTAGCAGTGAGAGCTGTGGGCCCAGGCCAGAGGTTGGCCACAGGCATTCTGAGGGGCAGCCTGACCTGTGGAGGAGTCCTGCATGGCTCTGCTGTTTTTAATCAAGTGAATTACCAGCCATGACAAGCTAAAGAATTTTTGAAACATTTCTAGATTTTGGGTTTCTCTTAAAACTTGTAAAATCTGCCTATGAGGGGCCCATGCCACTGACCCTCTTTGGACAGAGCACAGGCCCTCCAGTCCCCTTAGAGCCCCCCATGGCTCTTTCCCAGTTCTGTTGCTTCCTGGCTCCCTACGTGCTTGAGTTTGTACCCCTTTTGGTGACGTGATCCCCTTGGCTGCCTGTTGACGTGGGGCATGTACAGTGCTGCCCGACTGTGAGCAGGCCCAGCGCCCTCTGAGTCTCGCCTCACCACCTGTCCTGGGCAGTGGGTCCCAGCGCTACACACTCAGCCTTGGGCCCAAGGCCCAGCAGGGCCACAGAAAGGCTGGGAGGCCCTGGGCAGGCCCCTGCCTGTCTCGGATCTCAGCTTCTCCCTCAGGGATGCTCTATGGCAAGTCACGTGCCCGCCTAATGGCCCTTCTGTTTTTCCTTCTGTGGCTGCCACTAGACCAAGACGAGTGCCTGCTGGGCGCTCACGATTGTAGCCGGCGACAGTTCTGTGTGAACACCCTGGGATCCTTCTACTGTGTCAACCACACAGTGGTCTGTGCCGAGGGCTTTATCCTCAACGCGCACAGGAAGTGTGTGGGTAAGCCAGAGCCCTGCCTGCCGCCCACTGCCACGGCCGTCTGCTCTGCCCCACGCCTCGCCCGCCACACTGCGGCCACATGCTAAAGGGCCTGCCCTTTGCATGTGAGCTCTCAGCACAGCCGGCACCCATGCTCCTGTCGTGCCCTCCCGTCCTTGTGTCCTGTCCCACTTGTCTGCCGGCTCCACTGGGAAGCTGCATTCCCTGGGGACATGTTTGTGAGTCAGGAAACTCTGAATGTGTGCCTTGGTGGGTCACTGACCCCACCTGGGCCATAGGAAAAGGAGGTCAGACATGCTGGCAGCAGGGTAGTGTGTGGGGTGTGGAGGCAGGAGGCCTGGGCTCTGAGCAGGACCCCTGGAAGCTCTACACCCTGGGATGAGTGACTTGTCTTCTCCAAGCCATGGTTTCCTCATCTGTAACAGGGAGGCTGTTGATCCTCCTTTGAGGGTTATGTGACATGTGAACAGATAGCTTATCAAGTCAGCTGCTTAGCTTGTCCTTAGATGAGACCAGAGTCACCTCCAGAGATGAGTGGACAGATGCTGGGATCTGGCAGACCCCGCCTTAGCACCAGGTTGTTGTGTAACCTGTTGTGTGACCCTGAGCTCTGGAGCTTTCCTCTCTGAGCCTCTGTTTCTGCCCTGTAACTGCAGGGTTGGAAGACTAGGTGAGGGCTCACACTCAGCCCAGCTGGGGCCAGTGCTTGGGAATACCTCTTCCTTCCTGTCTCTCAGTGCTTGTGTGGGTCAGGGGTAGGGCTTTGGGAGTGCCCAGCGGGCAGCTAGGAGGGTGGACTGGATGTGTTCACATGTTTCACGGAGGAGACCTGAGTCCCTGGCCTCGTCCATTTCAAGGTCCCAGTTAGAGATGGACTCAGAGTAGCCAGGACCCCCAGCCAACCCTGGTAAATGCTGCAACAGAGAAAGACACAGGCAGAGAGTGAGGTCTTCCAGCTGGTGGCACGTGGAGGTGCTTTCTGGAGAAGGTAGAATTGCACTGGTCTCCAAGGATAGACAAGACTTGGAAATGAGGAAGGGCCCTTGGGGTGGGAGCACCAGCTTGGACCAAAGTGTGGAGGCAGGAACAGTGCAGAGTGTGTCCAGGGCACGTGACGAGGGACCTGTCTGTCTTTCTGTGCTTGGGGACCACGTCCAGCATAGATGTGCCCCTGTCCTCCCTCTTCACTGCTGGGCAGATAGACCCATGGTGCTGGGCTGAGTGGCCACTGCAGACATGTTTGCCCCAGGCCTCCAGCTGCGGGCACAACATGTGCCCTCCTGGGCCTGCTTGCCAGGGGCTGGGTGGCTCCTCCTGTCCGGGGTGGGTCTGTGTGTACTGGACGGCAGATCCCTCCATGGATCCCAGGGCTCCCTCCCTCTCACCTCTCCTGAGTGTGTGGTCTCCCCTGGCTGTCTGGAGCTAAAAGGGCTTCTCAGGCAGCTGGTAAAGGGGTTCTAGGAATAAAAGAGCAACCGTGTTTTCCATTCAGCAAAGTTTATGAGCTCACATTCCCCCTCCTGCCCCCTCTCCCTCTGCATCCACCCTTGCACACACTCATACAGCCTCCTGTTCATCCTTCCTCTCTGCTGGCTCACCTGTTCATTTTGTCATCTGTCAGCACCTACAGACCTCTGCTGGTGCAGCTGTTTGCTCTGGGCGTGTTTCTAACCCAGACAGGTGAGACTTGTGCTGGGATGAAGAGCGTGCCGGTGTCCAGCTCCTGGCATTTTTATTTTCTAGTCAAAAGACATTAAACCAGGCAGGTAAACTCTCTGAGCTTGCATTTCCTCATCAGTAAGTGAAAATAATAGCACCCTCCTCCAAGGGGCACTGGGGAGATGAAACGAGTTAGTCCCTGTGATGAGCTTGCTGCCCCTTGATGTCGGTATTTTGATTCCACCATGTGTTGAGCTGAGGCACCTGCAGAGATAGTGAGCTCCGGTCCCCGGAGGCCTCTACACCGAGTGGAGTGGGACAGTATTGGCTGTGGCCTCTGCCACAGATTCCCCCATGCGTTACCATTTTGTCTTTTGTGCCCTGCACTTTGAGAACTACCTTAGGCCCAGAAGAAAGTGCTCTAGGCAGGTTGGGTAGCAGGAAGACAGGGGTGAAGGGGGGGCGCCCTGGCTCTGAGGCCCACCCTGCACAGGGCTTAGACAGCGTAGAAAAGGGCGCAGCTCTGGGCCTGTGCTCTGGCTTCCCTTCTTGGTGCTGCCAGGTGCCATCTGTTTGACTGTGGTTCAGTCACATCAATTCTGGGAGACCTATTTCCTCATCTGTGAAATGGGGCAGGACAATGTCCGAAAAGCTGCCCTGGTGAGCCTCAGTTAGTGCTGGCGGCTACATTTATTGCTGAGATTCCTCCAGGATGTGGGAGGCTCTGTACGCTGCGTGTTTCTGGGCTCCTGGGATCAGAAGTCTTTATCTTGCTCAGCCAAGTCTTCCTTGGGAGCTGCTGGCCCAGAACTCTCTCCTTCCTTCCTTCCCAGCCCACCACCCCCAGGTCCAGTTCTGTCTGCCTGTGTGTCATTTGGTTCTTTCCCTGTGCCCTTGTCCCCACGCCTTTCTACCTGACACCCTAGTTGTCCTTGGAGGTTTAACTGACATGTCACCACCCCTGAGAAGCAAATCTTGTGTTCTAGGAGCAGAGTGGACATTCTCTGCCCCGAATTTCCCCTCCTACCTACCTGTCCTGTCCTCGAGGACCAGGACTAGGGCTGCAGAGCCACTTGGCTGCAGGAGCCTGGCACAGATTAGGCGCTAGTTAACATAGGTCCAGTGAATGAATACGCAGAAGGAAGTGTGTCCCCTGCCAGAGGGAGCACCAGGGGGCGGGACCTGGCACATTCCTCCAGCCTTCCCAGCCCTCGCCCTGGTGGTTTGGGGTGAGTGGTGTCCGTGGTTCTCCTCCAGCCGCCCTGCTGCTCTCCCCTTTCTCTTTTGCTGCTTAGCCCTGGAGCCTCCTGCAAATGGGTCTCCATGTGCCCTCTCCCCCTGGTGCCCCCAGCCACCTGACCACTACCAATTACTATCTCTACTTGGATCCCCTGTGTGAACTCAGAGGCATGTTGCCTCTTGACTCTTTTTTTCTTTTTTTTAATTTAAATTTAAGGTTAATATGAGGGTACAAACAATCGGGTCATAATATTTGACTTTGTTAGATAGACTCTCTCTTGTAGTTGTGTCCCACACTCAGAAGTCCTCTTGGCTCTTAAACTCACATGGCCAGGAGGGCTCCCTGCACCTCCCCACTGCCTTGTCCCAGGTGCTGGCACTGGCACCTGTCCAGCTTCAATCAAGCTCATAGCCCTGGCTTCTCTTTCTCTCTCACCTTCATCTCATCCATCAGTGGATCTTGTGGGTTCTACCTTCACAATACTTTCAGAATCTGGCTGCTCCTCCCCACCTCTGTGGGTGGTGGCCCGTGCTACCAGATTTCCTGCCTGGACCATCACCCCACCCCCAGCCAGGGTACCCTGGTCAAAGTAAGTCAGATCAGTCCCTCCTCTGCCTGGGATCCTTTTTGGCTCCCACTGTCCCTCCTGATAACCCTCCTTTTCTTTTTGTTCTTGCAGCCACACCTGCCGCCTGGCCGGCTGCCTTATCAGGGCCCTTGCGTCCTTGTCCCCACTGCCTGGACTATCTGTGTGGCTCATTCTGTCACCATTTCATTCTTGCTCAAATGTCCTATTCTCTGAGAATCCATCCCTGCCCCCCTGCTTTAAAATGGCACACACACTGCTGCACACGGCCCTCCTTTCTCATCCATAGCAGTCATGACCACCTCCTTTTATGTTTGTTTATATGTCTGTCTGTTGTGTCTCCCCTGAGTGTCTGTTCCACAGGGGCAGGATTCCTATCTGTCTTATTCACTGAGAGAGATATCCCTAGTGCTAAGAACAGTGCTTGGCACATAGCGGGTGCTCCATAAATCTTTGTTGAATGAAGGGATGTGTGGATAAGGGGACATCAGTCCCATCTCTAGATGGGGAGCACCTTGAGGGCAGGGCAGTGCCCCCTCCCTGCTGGTGTCTGAGGTCTGCTCTCAGCCACTATCCTGGGAGCACCTCAAAGGCTCTGATGGCCTCTTTCCCGGCAGACATCAACGAGTGTGTGACGGACCTGCATACATGCAGCCGGGGTGAGCACTGCGTGAACACGCTAGGCTCCTTCCAGTGCTACAAGGCACTCACCTGTGAGCCTGGCTACGTCCTTAAGGATGGCCTGTGTGAAGGTGAGAGGGAGAAGCTGAAAGCCCCACCCCTTCCACCCTGGCCCCACCCCTGTCCCAGCCCCACCCTAGGCCTGCCCCTCCCCATCCCTGGTTTGCCTACAGCCATCTCCCTTCTGGCAAACTCCCCTCACTTAGGCTTCCTGCAGGTGGCAAGACCCTACAGATGGTGTTTGGGACAGAACATGGGTTCTCTGAGGCTGGGTGGAGGGAGACCAGGGTCTATTCCAGCTTTGCAATCGCTTGCTGGTGCCTGGGTGCCAGTCACCCCCCTTGCGATAGCATCAGTTTCCCTGTTTATGCCTTGGGGTGGAGCATGACGGAAGGATCATTCTGTCCTTTTCACTGGATTATTCTGGCCTAAGAAGAGGGAGAATTTTTATTCAACTTTTTCAGCAAATATTTCCTGGGCTGCTTTTATGTCCTGGCAGGGATCTGGGTACCAGGGATCCAGGATGGATGTCATGCCCCTTCTCTGATCTCGTGTGTGGGGGAGATGGGTCCACACATGCACACAGGGAGATGATGGAGGGGCCACGGGGCCACGGGTTGGGTGCTTCTGTGGGTCGGGCCCCAAGAAGGCCCCTGGAGGAGGTGAGGTCAGAGTTGAGACCTGAGTGATGACAAGCTCCTGGGAAGTATCTCAGGCTGAGGAAACATTAAGTGCAGAGGCCCATTGGTACTGAGAAGGAAGAGATCCTAGCATATTCCAGAGACAGAAAGGTCTCAGAGAGTGGAACCTGTCGGCCCCCGTTGCAACCTCCCTGAAGGTGTCCACGCATGACCTCACAGGAGGCATTTAAGCGTCAGCCCCATTTCTGTCTGCCCGTGGACCATGTAGGCCAGACACCTGGGTTCTGGTCCCAGCCCAACACTACCTAGCTGTGGGACCTTGTTTGTGCCTCAGTTTCTTCCTTTGTAAGATGGGACTAGACACAGCTTCTACTTCCTAGGGCCGATATGAGGATTAAGTAGATAAATATATCTCAGTGCTTGAGACCAAGGAAATGTGGTTTTGCCACGGTTCCGACTGGGATATGGGCTGAGTCAGGGACGAAGCTCCACCCTTTTCCCGGATGCAGACCATTGTGACCATCAAGGTCATGGTGGTCGGAGGTCAGGGAGGTGTGGGCAGGGCTGCGGGCGGTTGAGGGTCCGGGGCTTGCCCACCCACTGGGCCCTGACACCTGGTGTCTGTGTGGCAGATGTGGACGAGTGTGCGATGGGCACACACAACTGCCAGGCGGGCTTCTCCTGCCAGAACATCAAGGGATCCTTCTACTGCCAGGCCCGGCAGCGCTGCATGAAGGGCTTCCTGCAGGACCCTGAAGGCAACTGCGTGGGTGAGCAGGGCTGTGAGGCTGTGCCTGGCCTGGGGCTCGAGGGAGGTGTCATGAGGGGGCTCCGAGAGCTTTAGAGACCAGGCAGCCTGGCGTGCTGCTGTGTCACTCAGGTAGGCACTGCCCTTGCCTGAGAGTAGGGGTAGCAAGTGTCCCACCCCAGGAGGCACCTGCAGAATGGCAGCTGCACTTACTACTCTGAGATGTCTGACCTTGGCTGAATTATTTCTCCGGTGGCCTCAGTTTACCCATCTGTGGGGTTAGACTGGATGCATATGTATTAGTTCTTTCTTACCCAGGCAACCGTAAGAGCTGTGTTTTATGTCATGACCTGGCACATCCATACACATCCAGAGGCACCTGGAGCACAAACTTCAGAAATAATACGTACTGCATATGATGCTCACTGAAGTTTTCAGAGTGCTGATGAGGCCTTCTTGAATAATTCCATGCTTTGCTCATGGGTTGAGAGCTGTAGTTTTGACAGATGCCACACTAGCTATTATCTTCAAGTGGGTCTGAGATTCCTCATTCTCCTCACCCCTTATCAGTCCCTTTGAAAAAGGCTGTTGACCTATCCAGAAAGCCAGGAGGCCCCACCTGCCCAGAGGTTCCTGACCCCGTCCCTCCCAGGGGGAGGGCACCAGAGGCCCCTGGACAGATTGCATCTGAGTGGGGGTGACCAAGGCCATGCTCCACCGTGGATGAGTGACACAGGGAGATGGCAAGACAGGCCATTGGGACCAGTGCTGGGGTGGGCAGCACCACCATGCAGGGAGAAGACTGCTGTGCGGAGGGCGGCTTTGACTTTGTCAGAAGGCTTTCTCAAGACTTTTGGGGTGCCCCTGGCCAGTCTGGGAGTGGAGCCCACCCTGAGATGCCCCATCTACTAGCTCCTTACCCTGTGTCCCCACCAGTGTCACAGGACCCCTCAGCACCTTGCAGTCTTGCGTCTGCCTGGGACCACCCCTTTTCACCAGGGTCAGGGCAAGGTGGGGAGGGATCTGCCCACTTCACTGAGCTCCTCAGTGACTCAGGGTTCTTGATGCTGGTTCCTGCAGCACCGTAACAGGGCCTTTCAGATGGGGAGAGACGGAAAAGGCAAACACGTTTATCAAAGTGGCAGCTATTCCCAGGTGCTCTGATAAACAATAAAATAAGCAGGAGGTGAAAAAGGAAAGACTCCTCCACCTCAGCTGGTCCAAGAGGACCTCCCTGAGGAGATGACATTGGGCAGGGACCTGAGGAAGCAGGCAAGCCAGCCCTGAAGTTATCCAGGGGCCCTGCGGTGGGCCCATTCCCCAGGGGCCAGTGGGGCTGGGTTCAGTGTGTGAGGGAGACAGATGGGGCAGGGTGGTGGCCCCTGAAGGCTGGGCAGGGTGGCCACTTTTGCATTTGTAGTTGTCCCAGAACCTGGCCTGATGTCCGCACTGCACCTGGCTGCCAGGGGTGGGACAGCCTTGCCCTGCAGCCCTGACCAGGGAAGGGCTAGAGCCAGGAGTGGACACGTCCCAGTGTGTCCCCAGGCTCAGGTGCTGGGGCCTGGGGCCTCCCATCACCCACACCTGCTTCTGCAGACATCAATGAGTGCACATCGCTGTCCCAGCCGTGCCAGCCGGGCTTCAGTTGCATCAACACCGTGGGCTCTTACACGTGTCAAAGGAACCCCCTGATCTGCGGCCGCGGCTACCATGTCAGTGAGGATGGAGCTAAGTGTGTGGGTAAGTCCAGGTGCCTCTGCCCACCAGCCAACCTCAGCCTGTCCAAGCTCCCCACTTGTAGGAGGCCCATGTGGAGGGAGGGCCCAGGCCTCAGGGTACCCTGCTCGTCCCCCACCCCTGCAGATGTGAATGAGTGTGAGACAGGCGTGCACCGCTGTGGTGAGGGCCAGGTGTGCCACAACCTCCCTGGGTCCTACCGCTGTGACTGCAAAGCTGGCTTTCAGCGGGATGCCTTTGGCCGCTCCTGTATCGGTAAGTGTGCCGGGGCTCGGACATCTCAGGAGCAATGGGCGGGGCCTGTGCCCTCTGTGCCCCTCCGCATCCCCACACACCACGACCTACTCCTTGTATCCCACTGCCTGAACAGTGCCCCCCGGCCAGGCCAGCCTTGCAGCTGGCCGCCTCCCCCTGCATTCCTCTTCTCCGCCCGCTCCTACCTGCACGCTGTGTCCCTGCTGTCTTGTCCCCGTGTGGCTCTCCTCCCTCTTTGCTTTTCTTGGTCTTGGTGTCTGACGTTTCCTCCTTTGCCTCTTAGGGTATCTGTCTGTCTGTCCTTTGTCCTCGCTCTCTGCCATCCAGTCTCCTTGCTCTTCCCTTCCCAGTCCAGGCCTCTCCATCTTTTCTCTGAGTCCCTCTCCCACTCAGCACCCTCTGTGGTCTTGGGTAATACCTGAGGGTGCCAGGAGCTGGCTTCCAGGATACCTACCCTCTGCCCGCCATTCCCCCCCCCCCCAGATGTGAACGAGTGCTGGGTCTCACCGGGCCGCCTGTGCCAGCAAACATGCGAAAACACGCTCGGCTCCTACCGCTGCTCCTGCGCCTCCGGCTTCGTGCTGGCTGCTGACGGCAAGCACTGTGAAGGTATACTGGCTCTGACCTCTGACCCAACACAGCCTAGCACCTACCATGGGTAGATCACCATGGAAAACTGAGAGCCATGCTGGTCCTCCTCCACCCTCCACCTTTACCCATGCCCTCCCTGCCAGCCCCTTCCCTCCACCTCCTTCTGGCCAAATACTCCTGGCCTCCCCTGGTCCTGCTGTTTCTAGCCTCAAATTCTCCTACCCCACTGAAGGCCTAGGGCCTGGTTCCCTTGGACTGGAAGGATTGGGTGTCTCTGTTGTCTGCACCCCAAATGCGGTTTTCACAGGCAGCCTAGCTCTCTGCCCCTCAGACCCCCAGGGTCTGCCCTGGTCATGGTCACAGTGACCTGGATCTCAGGCAGGGTACAGAAGGCAACCCAGAGAACCCAGGAGCCACGGAAAGTGCCACCATGCACACAGGTCCAAGGTAGCCTGACCTTCCTGACTCTCCAGAAGCCAGAAATCTTGATGTTTATGTAAAATCTGCTGGTTTTTACACATTGATGATGGATTTAAACTTTTAAAGAATCCACTGAGTTAAACAAGCCTGTGTGCAGACTTGGGCCATGGAGGGCATCAGAGGCCCCTCTACGTGATCACTCACCGTGGAGGCATCCATGGCTGATGGGGGGCCTGTCATGCTGGTCCCCAGCATGTTTGTGGTGTTGATGAGCTAGGTCCTGTGGGGATGTATGTGGAGTGAGGCCACCAGACTGCTCAGTGAGGAGGCGGGGCCCAGCCCAGGCCTGAGGGGTTTGGCCCCACATCCCTGGTGCTGTCTTTCCCAGCTCCTCCCAGCCTGGAGCCTCATTCCTCTTGGACTTCTGGGAAGGCCATGCGTCCCTTCCTACTCCCCTGGCCTGCAAGAGAGCATGACCAGGCCTGGCTGTATTGAGGCAAACCTTGTCCCATCATTCATGGGCTGGGAGCATCCTTCTATGACTGGTGGCTGGTGTCCCCACAGATGTGAACGAGTGTGAGACCCAGCGCTGCAGCCAAGAGTGTGCCAACATCTACGGCTCCTACCAGTGCTACTGCCGCCAGGGCTACCAGCTGGCCGAGGATGGGCACACCTGCACAGGTACCTTCCAGAGAGGTGCCCTTCCACTGTGCCAGGGACACACATAAGTTTTAGCATCAGCTCTGAGTTTGAGTCCCAGCCCTGCAATTTCCTGGCTATGGGGCCTTGGGCAGAACTTGCCTCCCACTTTGACCTCCTTCTCTGTCAAATGGAGTGATGGTTCTGACATCAGGAGAGCGAGGGATTCAGTTAAATATCACACATTGGTGTGCCCAGGCCCAGTTGGCACTGATTAGCACTGTGTAGCTGTTACAGAGCAGCCGCAGGAAGTGGGCACTGGGGTGGGAGGCCTCTTCTGCTTTGTGGCCTTGGACAACTCTCTTCCGCTCTCTGGGCCCTCTGTCCTCCCAGAGTATGGGCCCCAAACTCTGTGGCTGTGACAGGGACAGACTGGTTGGTGGCTGGGTCCTGTGCTGCACGGGGCTTACCGGGGGCTAAACCTCTCTCTGACAGACATCGATGAGTGTGCTCAGGGCGCTGGGATCCTCTGTACCTTCCGCTGTGTCAACGTGCCAGGGAGCTACCAGTGTGCATGCCCAGAGCAGGGCTATACCATGACGGCCAACGGGAGGTCCTGCAAGGGTAAGCAGGGGGCCCTTGCTCTGCCAGGCCTTGGGCAGGCTCTGAGCAGGCACATGGCTGGCGTGTGCTTGGACCTTCAACACCAAGTGCATAAATGGTAACTGAGGCCTATGCCTGGAATGAAGAGGGTGACAGTGACAGTTTTGCTGCAGCTTGGTCCAGGCTTGGGCTCAGCTCTGGACCTTGCCCTGGGAGTGAGTGGGTAAGGGATACCGTGGGGTGGTTCTAAGGAGGCAGGAGACCTATCCAGTCAGGATACTGGAGAAGGGCAGCATCGGGGTCCCAGTCGCTGCTCTCAAGTCTCTGTACTTCTATGTGAGGATGGGGGAACAGGCAGGTCTGTGGGCCCAGAGGGTGGAGTGGGACCCTTAGGTGTAGGGGAGGTGGATAGAGGGAGGTTTTTCCCAGCCCTGGTGCAGAGGGCATTCTCCTGATGAGGGCTATGCAGAGCCAGGAAGGGCTGCACGGTGGGGAGGGGCTCCCTGGCCCTGGGAGCAGACAAGCCTGGGCTGGGTAGTCACCTGGAAAATTTGTAATTGAAAATTTGTAATGTCTCTGGATAGGGACCAGGTTCTGTGATGTTTAAGGTTCCTTCTAAGCTAGAGAGTCAGGATTCTAAGTTGAATGCCATCAACCATTAAATTCTGGGCCTGGCAAGTCACCAGGGCAAGGCTGGGTGGAGGGCAGGACGCAGGGGGGACACTGACTTCCCCTAGGAGAATCAGTCCTCAGCACTGCAGAGCTCAGCACCCCCAACCTTCTCCTGGCTGTAGGAGTCACGTCCTCCCCAGATGGTGAATCTGAGTGCTGGCCGTCTTTGGGATTTGACTAGGGCCCTGGCCCAAGCTTGGGCATCTTCTTGGTCTATAAAGGCAGGTCCTGTTATTCCTGACCCACCTACCCGCCCCCCGCCACCCCCGGGTCAGAGTGCCCAGACTGTACGGAGTTACACTAGCATGCTGCAGCCTAGTGGTTTCTACCTGTGAATGGGGGCTGAGGTCATGTTAGCCACCTAGCCAGCTGTGTGTATTGTCTGTTTTCATTAATGCAGAGCAGAATGCTGGGTAGGGTAGGTGCTGTGGCCCAACCCAGGACGAGTGAGTGTGTGTTGTGCCTCCTCTACTCCTTGTGTGTGTACTCAGTTGCAAAAGAAGCCCTTACTGTAGGTGAATGTAAAACATAGCCACAAATTAAGTGAAAAGAGCCTCAACAAGACCCTGTAAATCAGTGACAGGGAGGCCTGTTAAGGTCACGGACTCTGGCCTGGGTCTTCATGGCTGCAAAGCCCTCTGCTCTTTAATTTAAAAAAAGAATGGGTAGGGACTCTGTGAAAGGTAAGGATTTTACTTGCCATATGCTCAGCTGGGCAGGAATTACAGCTTTATGCTTCTTGATTTCATGTGTGACACCAAGGCGCTGCGCCACCTGGTGGCAGACCACAAGTGTGGCCATTTCTAGGAAGGCCCTGTCAGATATCGGCAATGACATTGGCTCTTGCAGACACTTCAGAGGATGGAAACTCTCCACATTTAGGATGATCTTTCCCTGGTCCCTCCTTCTTAAGCATTTGGGGGAGGATCTGGTGGACACCTGGACATCCACATGGGCCTGTGCTGGCCAGCAGAACAGGCTCCCCAGGGCCAGCACGTGCCTGCCGTGGGTGTACTGACCTCTGGTGCCTCTCTTCTGCTCAGACTCACCCCCAGCTGCTCTCTCTGCGTCCTCTTCCTGGAGTGGCTGCCTCTCTGTCTTACATGGCCTGTGCCCTGGTGAGGCACGGACCCCCTCTCTTTTGGCCCTGCTGTGTCACCAGCCCCCACCCAGGAGATTAGGGTGAGCTGGAGCTCCCCTTCATCTGATGCCCTTTCTTCCTCTCCAGACTCTCCTTCTGGAAGAGTCTTCCAACTGTCAAGGAGTGGACAAGGGCACAGGGGCTCTCTTGGTGTCCTCCCCTTCCCAAGTCACTCCATGTACCTGCATCTGCAGCTGCTGACCGTAAGGCCAAGAGGTTGTCCTCGTTGTACCCTGTTGTCCTTTTCTGACTCAGGCCAAATACTGAGGTCTCTGAGCTCACACAGGACAAGAGGCTGGCTGTAGGGGGAAAGAATATGCTGGCCAGTATCACCACATGCCTCTTGCCACTCTCTAATAATAATTTAAAAAAGGGACAGAAAAACGTGAAGGAGTTTAGAGTCAGCCGCCTCTCCTAGAATGTATGTATGTTCTAGGGGACCAGGGCCATGTCTGTCCTGGTCACCAGCTCCAGGAGCAGGACCCAGCACATAGTAGGTGGTCACTGAGCACTTGACCATGTGACTGAACTGAGAGGCAACTACTGTTCATATTTGCATGCATTTCCTTCTAGTCTTTTCCATATACGAATACATGTGTCCTGCACACACACTGCCACTGTGAAATATTAGTGAGGACTCACCATGCTTAAGCCGGCTTTTCCAGGATAAGCCCTTCTCACATTCTCTCCGTATGGCACACTGGCTTTTAGCAAGACTCTGTCTCACTCCTGACTTGTCCTGAGCTTCTGCCTTCTCAGTCCTTCAGGGGCCCTCAGAACCCTCTGGAAGTGACTGCATTCTGCATCCTTGCTGCTTTTGTATTTTTCTGCCCACCAGAATTGTGGCTGACCCTTGCTGTCTCTGGTGAGGCTGCAATGCCAGCCCTGGACACAGGCCCTGGTGCAGCTCCTGGGTCAGCTGCAGGGCCAAGGGCATTGGGAGCCTGGCAACCCTGATGGGTGAAGCCCCTGGTGTCCTAGGGAAGCCCTGCACAGCTGCTGACCCTCCCCTGCCCTTCCCTTCCAGGCATCTCCATCAGTGCCCACCCCATTCCTGCCCACCCAAGCTCAAGCTCCAGGGTCAGCAGAGTGGGTGGCCCAGGGTGTGGGCTAAGGAGCAGGAGGTCCTCTTCATGTGGATCCAATTACTGCACAATCAGTAGGATGCACCCAGCCTGTGCCCCACCCTCTCAGCCACTTGCCATGTTTTCCCCATCTGCCTCTAGACCACCCTGGGACATTGGGGTTGGGGTCATTACCCACTTTACAGAGGAGAGAAGTGGGCCCTGGAAAAGGTGAGCTGATCCCTGCAGGAGAGCCTGGTGGCCAGTGGCCCGGAGCCCAGAGCAGGCCTGGATTGTTGAGCCCTGACCCTGCTGTCACCACCATTGACCCTGAGCACTTCTGTGGATTCCAGGCAACACTGGGACCTGCCTTGTGGGGTTGGGGGGAGTGCAGAGCACTTCAAGCATTGTAAGGACGTCAGGGGGTAGACTCTGGACACAGGCTGGATGTTAGGATCATTACTATTATGCTGTTGTTAGGAGTCAACTTGGCATCATGACTAGCTGCCAGACTCAGGCAAACCTGACTTGCTGTCCCACCAACTGCTGTGTGACCTTGAGTGAGGCTATACACTTCTCTGAGCCTCAGTTCCCTCCTCTGTCTGAGCACATGGCTGGGGTGAGGATCAAGTGAGGCACAATCCCTGAGCACAGTGTGGAGGATTGGAAAACAAAAACTGAAATCCTCCAAGGCTTCCCCTGGAAACCCCCCTGCTTCCTACCCTGGGGACAGCCCCCAGGTCTCCTGTGGCTGCCCTCTCTGGGCTGAGCAGCAGATCCTCAAAGCTTCCCCAGAACTCACTAGCTGGGCCTCGCACAACAGAATGTGTTTCTGTGAGGTGCGCGCACCATGGAGGTGAGAAAGAAACACCTCTGTCCTCCTAGAGCCCAGGCTGAGGAAGGGATGGGGGAAACAGGACAGCTGTATAAAATAGTCTGGGTATATCTCACAGTGAGAGAAGCAGTATATGGATGAGAAAACAGCATGGGATGGAGGGTAGTATAGGGTGGTCAGAGGAGCTGTCCTGGAGGAGGTGACTTGAATCTGAGACTCACAGGATGAGAAGAAGCCACTGTTGGAAGATGTGGGGTAGTGCTCCAGCCGTGGCAACAGCATGTGCAAAGGCCCTGGGGTGGCCTAAGAGGCAGCCTGTAGGGTAGCTTAGAGCTGGTATGGAAGGGGAAGGGCCCCGGAGGCCCTGCACTGTGGGCTTGGTGCTGGTGGGGGGACTTGGGTTTTTATTCTGGGAGCATGTGAAGTCATCAGAGGACAGAAGATGACTTACATTTTTAAAGCAAGGGCCCAGCTTCTGGGTACAGAGCAGGCAAGATGGGGCATGTGTGGCTCAGTGTCCTGAGGGCTGTGTTCTCACAATCAGGTCGGGCTTCTCTGAGGCCCAGGCCTCTAGTGCCTGCTGGGGTGGCTCAGGCTGGGTGTGGGACCCCTGTTGGGGGTCCTCAGCTGTGGAGGACCCCTTCAATCACCTTTCCTGTGCTCCCCCAGACCTGGACGAGTGTGCACTGGGAACCCACAACTGTTCCGAGTCTGAGACCTGTCATAACATCCAGGGTAGCTTCCGCTGCCTGCGCTTTGAGTGTCCTCCCAACTACGTCCGTGTCTCCAACACGTGAGTGTCCCCACCCTGGCCATGGACCCAGAGACCTTGCACCAACGCTGTGCCACCCAGGGGAGAGGGCAAGTGATGGGTGCCCCTGTCTAGACCAGGTCCCCTTCCTCACAGCCCCTGGCTGCTGCTCTGGGGTCGCACTGATTGAAAGCCAATAAAAGCTCCATGCAGAAAGTTCAGTCTCGAGAAGGAAGGGAAGGAGACTCACAGAAAGTACCCCTCCTTCTACTCTCTCGCACACAGATTAGTGCTGCGTAACAAAGTATTCCAACATTTAGCACCCTAATGCAACAAATGTTTATTTCACAAGGTTTCTGAGGGTGGGAACCAGGGAGCAGCAGGGCCGGGTGGTTCTGGCTCAGGGTCTCCCGAGGCTGCCAGCTGGGTCGCAGGATCCTGCTACCTGCCCACGTGGCTCTGGCCTCTGCACAAGGCTGCTGTGATGTGCCATCACCCAGCTTCTCTAGGTCCCCAGATGAGTGAGCGACAGTCCCTTAACCTCAGTTAAGCTTGTAACTGACAGACCATCGCTTCTGCCACCGGCCACGCAGTCCAGCACTGTGGGAGGGAATCAGCCATAGTGGCTGCAAACAGGGGGAACCCCTGAGTGCACTGGAGGAAGGAAGGAGAAAGGGGAGGAAGGGAGGAGCGTAGGGATGAGTAAGAACTGCTGGTAAACCCAGCCAGGCCTCTACTAAGTGCCGCATATATAACCTCCCCCATCCTCTCAGTGACACCAGGCAGGTGTCAGTCACCTGATCTCACAGGTGAGGCAACAGGCCCAGATGCTAGGTGATTCCCTAAGGGTACCAGGCTAGGGAGGGTAGAGCCAGCCACCAACAGCACCGTGTCTGGGGTGGGTTGGAGAGCCCAGGATGACCCAGCCCCTGCGCCCCGCAGGAAGTGCGAGCGTACTGCGTGTCAGGACTTTGTGGAGTGCCAGAACTCGCCGGCACGCATCACGCACTACCAGCTCAGCTTCCAGACGGGCCTCCTGGTGCCCGCGCACATCTTCCGCATCGGCCCAGCACCAGCCTTTGCGGGGGACACCATTTCCCTGACCATCGTCAAGGGCAACGAGGAGGGCTACTTTGGCACGCGCCGGCTCAACGCCTACACAGGTGTGGTCTACCTGCAGCGGTCGGTGCTGGAGCCGCGGGACTTTGCCCTGGATGTGGAGATGAAGCTCTGGCGGCAGGGCTCTGTCACTACTTTCCTGGCCAAGATGCACATCTTCTTCACCACCTTTGCGCTGTGAGGCGTCAGGGCTGCCCTGCAGCTGCCGCCAAGCCCCTGCTCGCGCCTGTGGGTGGGGCCGGGTCATTACCCTGGTGGTGCTTACTAAGCTTTGTAAATTAACTTAATTTTGCTGACTTGATTCTTCCGGGGCTCTGGGCCTCTCCTGTGCCCTGTAGGAGGGTGCCCAGCAGCAGGAGGTGAGTCCTCACAGCACTGAGTGGGAGCCGGAGGCCAGCTAAGGGCTGTGGTGCCCGGTGGGGGACGGCCACAGCCTGGACATGGCCTCAGACCCCAAGCGCAGCGACCACGTTGGGGCCTTTGGCGTCACCTGGATGACCTGCCACCAAAGCTGACGTTTCACGTCGTGTTCCACTGTGATTCATTCTTTAAAACCATGTTTAATTTTTTTGTTTAATTATGAAAGTAGTACATGTACATTGTAAAAAATAAAATCAACTAGTACAAAAGGGCTATAAAGTAAAAAAAAAAGTAAAATGCTCCTGGGTCCCTGTATTTTTTGAAAAGTGTTTTGAGTTTGACAATGGCATCTGAGTGTTCCCAAGTTGCCAGGTTCGTGGTGTGCTTGTCGGGTGTTAATCGAACCCTTTCTTGATGTTTTACTCAAATGATGAGCTCCCCTTGGGGGTAAACAGAGGCCCACTTTGGGATCCTTTCTTCTGTGTCTGCTGCTCCCACCTCCCGCCCCCTACACTATCCCTGCACCGAGACCTCAGCGACTGGCTTGTCACTTGGAAGGCATCTGGAGCTCCAGCACTGGAACCTACCGCTGAGACCTAAAGACGTCAGGCCAGGCAGTGGACTTCAGCAGAAACATAAGGGTGGGGGGGAGTGGGGTTTAGCTTTTCCAGAGAGCTCACTGTAAGTTTCTGGAGCTTTTAGGCTGCTCAAGGGAGTAGAGTATGAGAACAGGGGAAACTAAGGCAGGGAAGGGCCATGCTTGCAGCCTGTGGCCAGGGCCTGAGCCGTGTCTGGACCCAGCTCTGAGGACCTGGAAGGACGCGTGCTGCTGCCCTGGGCGCCCTCTGAGCCAGTGGGTTCCTTCCTGCAAGCAGCCCATGACTTGTGGGTCTTGAACTAAATGTAGTGGGTGGCGGTGAGCATTTAAAAAATGATGTGGGATAGGCAATATCTAAGTCTTCACAGTGTTCTACAAGCCCCAGTGCGTGTTGTCTGTGTGTGTACACATGCGTGCACATGCACACACGCGGACATCAGCACACCAGCTCTGGCTGGTGATGTGTGAGAGGCAGTTAGGGGGAGTGGGCCTGGGGGTTGCTGGAAGGGCATGCCCAGCTCCAGAAACTGCCCCCTCTGGTTGCATGGCCTGGGATGGCCTGCTGTTTTCATTCTTCAAAACAAGTCCCCCAACTACATCTTGATGTAGAATCCTTCAATTTTGAGATGTGGAGACTAATTAAAGCTTTTGAAGAGCAACGCTGACCTACTGGAAGCCAGTTGATGTAAGGAAGCCTGCAGTGGAGGGCTCACAGTCTTGGGGCCTTGCCTCCCCACCTGCTCCTTTCTGGCCTCTGTCCTCAAGAGGGTGTGGCAGAAGCCATGATTTCTTGTCACTGGCCCAGCTGTCTCTGGTTTTTGGAAAAGCCAGAGCTAGTAACTTGATTGTGCTGTCACTAGGAGGCCAGGATGCAGTGGACCCCATTTGAGAGGACAAGCAGGGGCCAGGATGCAGTGGACCCCATTTGAGAGGATAGGCACTTTAGGGGGCACCAGCAAATGACAGGATGGGGAGCACCAGGATGGCAGCAGTCACTCCTCCTACCCTGTCCCGAGTTCTCTCAGCCCATGGGTCACTCGCTCCAGGTCCTTGGGCAAACGACTTGATCATCCTGGGCCTCATTTGTCTCACTTGTGAGCAGGGACCCAGCAAGCCTTACCACGTGGGCTGTAATGCTAACTGAGCAATATTGGCCTGGCACCCAGCACACCTCTACGAAGGCTCTCAGGAAAGAATTTTCCGTCTGACCTTAGAATCTCTAAGGTTCAGTGATTCTAGAATTCCATGCTTGCAAGAACTGTCACAAACCACAATTTGAGGGAATAACCTCCATAAGACCACCCCCACTTTGGGTGCCAGACACAAGCTCAGGGATTCCCCAGGAGCATCCTCACATGGGCCCTTAGGACCATCATCAGGTTGGTTAATTCACCTGAATGACTCAGGAAAGCACTGTATACAATCACGGTTTTATGTAGCAAAAGGATACAAGTTAAAATCATCCAAGGGCAATGAGGCATAGGGCAGAATCCAGGAGGGGCTGTCCTCAGGGCGCTCTGCCCTCGTGGCATGGACATGTGTCAGTGTACACAGAATAGTGCTAACCTGGAGGCCTCAGTGTCCAGCACACACCCTCCTTGTGTGGATTGATTGCATCCTGTTGGTGTGGCCCTTTGTCTCCCAGAGGTTGGAACTGATGTGGTGTGTCCCAGTGCTCTCAGGAAACAAAGGCAGTCCTGTCTGCAGGACCTTCTGGGGCTGACACCATAAATCAAGCAACTCCTTCTTGGCCAATCAGAGCATTCATAAAGCACCACCTAGGTGGTTCCCAAGGTGGCTGTGGGGGAACACCTGCTCTGGTGTGTACCCCCGTGGCTCTTTGCATGCCTCTAGCATGTTTCTGCACAAACCGTTTCCATCTCATGAAATTCTTCTGGACAATGCTCAAAACATCCTGTGTATTTCAGGTTATGGCCTTCAGACATAAGGTTGCTGTCAAAGTCCAATAACTGTTCCTCAGATGGAAACTTTCTGGTCCCAAATCCCAGTGGTCACTTCTGGGGGGTCACTAATGGGATCTTGCCATAAAGCACAGTGTGCATAAGGACTCCAGGGCATCTTTTGAACAGTTCTGTGGATAGGAGCTACTGATATTCCTAGATGTGTGATGTGTATATATAAATAAACTGATCAGATGCTGGTATTTAATCAGTTTTGTCCAAAGGGCAGATTTTCCTGCCTTCCGTTTTGCAAAATTAGGTGAGAAAAGTGTTTCCCAGACACACTATCCATTTGCATAACATACTCAGGTAAAGGGTGCAGCCACTGCACAAAGAGTTCATCCAAACATTCCAATTTCCATCTAAACGTTTGCCTTAATTCCGTCAGCTGTTGCATTTTCAAATTCTCTGATCTGAGTGGATCCCCCATTGGGCCGTGACCAAGGGGTTCTGGAATCATGGTACATCAGCTCCCATAAAAGAAGTCCCAGAAGCCCCTCCCCCATCTGGCCATTTTACCCACTCCTGGGCATAGGGCTCTGGGTCTCAACTAGGGCTTGGGCCAAGGGACCTAGTCTCTCAGGCCTGCTGTAGATTAGATTGTGAGATCACTGACCTGGGCAATTAGAAGCCAGATTTCTCTTTGTCATTTTAGGGCTTCCTGCTTTTTAATACCCTCCAAACCAAGGTGGATGAAGGTATGAGGATTTGTTTAGGGCCCTTCAATGTGGGGGGAACCAGACACAAGCTCAAGGATCCCCAGGAATACACTCATATCTGATGCAAGGGTCTCCATCAGTCCTCCCAACTCCTGAGAGTGCTGTGTCAACACCTTTGTTTTGGCTCATCCATGTCCACTGTATTCATCATATTTCTTAATAACTATTAAAAAATTTCCACCTTGCTTAGGTAAGCTCTTGATCTTCTTCTCGGCCTTAACCCCTTGTTGTGTCCATTCTCTTTGGATAACCTTTCCCATGCATTGTCTCAGCACTGTTTCCCTTTGGAGGAGGCTCTGAGGCCAGTGGCCACACATTGGGCCCACCAGAACCTTCCCTGCTCAACATCAGAATCTACACCGACACCTGCCATAGCGGCCCCAAGGCTGATGACCATGGTTCAGACTGACCAGACTCTTGGCCCGGCATCAGGATCCTCCCCAACACATTACAACTCCCTTACATTACAGGTATTACAGATGATACAGATGATAACAACCAAAGGATTTTATATTTTCCTTGTTTCTTGTTGCTTTGCATTTTCTTGTATGCCAGTGAGCCAGCCCTTTAGGACTTAGAGCCGTCATTTCTAAATTCCTTTGGTAAATTTTACCTTTGAAAATTGATTGCAGCATAGCTGCCATTGGCCGGTGTGACCACCAGGAATCCAGGATTCCTCATCTACCACCCTTTTCCCTTTGTTCTTCCCAAACCACATGTTTCAGTGAGTCATGGCTGGTTTATAAAATCCCACTTCTGACACCAACTTTAAGGAGTTCAGCAAATTACCAGTTTGGGTGTAACTGTAATATATGACACCCACAAGTTTGGGTGTTTCCAGGCCCATCCTCACTTCAGACCAGCTGGCTACGTATTCAGAGGACCCGAAACCACATTCAAGTGCAGTAATTTACTAGAATGACTCATAGAATTCATGAAGGTGCTATGCTTATTCCTGCAATTTTATTGTAGCAAAACGATAGAAATCAGAACCAGCCAAGGGAAGAGACATATGGGGCTGAGTCCAAGGTGGGAGGGGGTCTAAACATGGAATTTCTGGTGTCCTCCCCTTGTGGAGTCCCAGATGGCATTACCTGTTCCAGCCATGACATACAAGGATTGCCAACCAAGGCATTCATCTGAGCCTTTCACATCCAGAGTTCATTGGAGCTCATCATAGTTGGGGCACAGATACTCCCTGGCATGGGGGGGACAGTGTAATTCTTAGAGATGCCATCAGTGGTGACGTGGGAAGATGTCCCCATGAAAGAATGCTGTGGCAAGGAGTGATGATGCAGACATTGGAAAGATAGTGAAGAGTGATGACAAAGACAGTGGAATTGGCTCCTGACTGCCAAGCTGCACTGGGATGATGGGGTCGGGGCTGTTACTAGGCAGCTGATGGCTAAGGGGGAGAGAAAGAAGGCCCCATGGTAGCCCACAGTGAGGCACCTGCCCTCTAAGAGGAAGTGTAGGCTGAAGACCCGCTGGTGAGCTTTCTGCCAAATACAATGGGAAGAGTTTCTTGGGCATGTTTCTGATCACCTTGACAGTGTTGAGGAGGACCAGGCAGGAGCATTGTGATAGGCTCTCTTTTGGGGTCTGTTTGATGTTTTTCTCATTAGACCAGGATTGTGGGTTTTGGGAGTGAGAACATAGAGGTAAGTGCCCTTCTCCTCAGGTCCCATCAAGGGCATTTGCTGTCAATATGACCTAGTGCTGGTGATATTAGCCTTGACTGCCTGGCTGAGGTCATGCTGGTCAAGTCTGTCCACAGTATAGCCACTCTTCTCCCCCTGCCCCTGCATGGTGTACTCTTTTGTGCACATTTATTTTAATCTATAGATTGATAGATCTACAATTGATACATTTAGGGTTACAAGTGGTTTGGGGTTGCACGATGAGTTGTATAGTGGTGATATCTGGGCTTTTAGTGTATCCGTCACCCGAACAGTGTACATTATACCTGACAGGTAGTTTTTCTTCCTCAGCCCTCTTCCTTCCCTCTTCCCTTCTGAGTCT